ATGGAAATAAGTCGGCATTCTGTGTGAAAGAACTTCTTCCGGAACTCTTCCATAAGTTTCCTTGGTAATCCTCATACGCAAGGACCCTGTCTTCTTGTCTTGTGAACGGTGGATGCGTGTGTACTGAGTAATGCGATCCAATTTTCCCTGTGTATGTCTCATTTTCGCACCTTCCACAGTGAATGCATGTATGGAATGTGTGACTCTTTTGTTGATCAGACGATTGTCGTCGGGGTTTTGTTCGAGAATGCAAGAGTGTTTAGGTTTGTAGCTCTGTTTGCACTGCGCATGCCATCTGCCTTATGCTGCACGATATCAGCAGCCGAGCCACGAGGCGGCCCTGAGAAACAAGGCGCCCAGRGACCAACGTTGTGTTGAACTGATTGGACCCGTAGCCATATGTGTGGTCAAGCTGATATGTGTTTGCTCTCTCTCTCTCTCTTATGTCAAAAAGATTGATTGGGGGACGCACGAATCGCTTTTGTTCTTAATGACGTCTCATGATATTTTGTGATTRATTGACATGTGGACTGACAAGTACCCTTCGATTGGGCGCCAGCCTCCCGTATCTCCCATCCCAACGCGACCTTTTCCTTACAGTGAGGAAATGACACGTGTATGTGAGTGGGACGTACGAGAAGCCGTTGCACAAATCGGCAGGTGGTATTACTTCCCTCCGGCCAACCGTTGTTCTGGGTTCGTAGAAGTCGGGTTTGTAATTATCGGTACGCACTTCCCACCTTACTCGGTATTGTTGTCATTTAACGAGTTGATCGTCATTCCGCGGACGGCTGTGAAACCCCACTGGCCGCGCACTCTGTGCACCGAATGTCAGCGTTTTGAGCGCTACGAGTCCAGGGGTTTTCACTACCGTGTGCGGAGCGAAGACGAGCATAAAGAAAGAGCCACGCGGCTGAGACCCTCCACGTCAGACTCGGAACTAACCAGCGAACGACGACGAGACTTGATACGAAAACGAGACACGCGAAGCGTGCCCAAGCCTTTCTGTTCTAAACGACGTGTTGTAGCCCGGTGGGAGGCACGAGAATACTTTTTGGATTGAATGGATCTTTCCCTCTCTTCCCGCCTTGCCCATGCGTGCATTCCGCGACGCGCGAAAACAATCGACTTGCTCCATCGGACCAACACGGGGGATTTCAGTTTCGTCTGTGTCCCCACACTCAATTTCCAAAAATCCTTGGCACACCCCATCTTGCTGTTTTTCTGGGCCTCTTTTCCGCACAGCTAACACTCCGAACGGAAGACAGCAAAGGGCGTGGGGTTGGTATCGGAGCCGACACGTGTCGGTTCTGATCAAAGTAAGTCGAACTGGCGAGAGGTAGGAGAGACCCTCAACTAACTCGTCGGGATCGCTCAGTAACCTGGTCTCAGTCTAGTGCGGCTGCACCAGCAATACGAATGGTGGACGGTACTAGGGTGATCGTTAGCATCCTTGCCCCCTTCCCCTTCTTCCCTAACCATACTCATCCCGAGGCTTGGCTGAAAGCTGTCGAAGCTCAGAACTACAGCGCAACTGATCTCCCTCGCGTTCTGACATTGCTACTCCGCAACACGTCACATGACTGGTTTAGGAAACATACATGGGTAGATTGGGCTACTTTCAAGACAACCTTTTTAGCTCGATTCGATACAGTCAGTGAAGATGCTGCCTAGTACGTGCTTAAAAATCGACCCCAAGGACCAGGGGAGTTGTTGCCCGATTTTGTCGATCGGTTTCAAACCACGTTGGACAAATCCGGGCGGGATGAGAAATCCGCTCGAGATTTGTTCATCGATCACCTACGAAGTCCGACACTGAAAGGAAAATTGCAGAAAAAGGTTCCGCCGAAAACACACCAGTTATTGGCTATCATCACTAAAGCGTTGGAGCTAGACTTGGCTGATACAAAAAAATATATCAGCCAGGGAGACGAGGACATTACAGATACCATACGGAATGTAACGGCCAAAAGGCGATCATGGCTACAGGCGGTCGAACGGTTTTATCCCCGCCCCGACCATGACCTTCCCGGCGAGATCGTTTTCGATATCCCGACCGCTTCTCCTCCCTCTCCCCCGGTGAATCAATCGATCGCAGCCGTTAGAAGCGGAACTTCATCTGAACCCCCCTCGCCGGCCGTAACCAATCTACACCTTGCCCAGATGATCCACACGGCTACTACTAAGCAGTCCGAATGGATGGGCAACCTGATCCAAATGCAGGCCGCTCATTTGGAACGGATGAAACAAATAATGAGCAGGCTCATTAAGCCTAATCCAGCTCCTGCTCGGCCTGCCCCTACATCGTTTCCGCTCTTACCTGCTCCGCCTGCTCTAGGATTCGCCCCTCAGTATCCCCATCTAACTAATCCGGCAGGAAGGATCGAGTGTTTCAACTGCAAACAGCCCGGGCATTTTGCCCGAGACTGTCCGCAGCCGAAACGTAATCCGCCTC